CAGGTGTGTGGTGCGCCAATAGCAGCAGACACATAGACAACGGAGGAAACAAGAGTGGGGTAGAAGGCAACTGCAGCCAAATAGGTGAAAAGTAGGACTCCAAGTTTACCCTTGGAAGAAAAAGAGGGATTATACTGAGATAAACACCACCACCACCAACTCCCCAAGTACAACAGTTCGGTTCTCGAGTGCAGTGTACAACATCTGGCTGCCATTGCTCAATGCATCCGCAGAATCCGTATCACAATATGGCAATGCAGCAGCAACAACAGCAGCGCATGGGTAGGATGCCCGGTGGCCCCCCCGGCCCGTACGGCGCCATGCCAGGCTATTTTGGCGTCCCTGGTCCCGGCCCTGCGGGCTTCTACCCTCCGCAACAACCTTCTATGCCGCCGGGCATGAGCGCATACAACACCAGTGTCTTAAACAACCCGATGGGGACAAGCTTCTTGGGTCCCGCCGGGTGCGGTCCCTTCGCTCCGCGTGCACCGATGGGAGACCTGAGCCAGCGAGGCAGCATCCTGCTTGGAAATCCAGGGTCACGTGGCAGTTTCTCCAACACTGGTGCCCCGTACGGAAGTTTATATGGATCAAATGCCTTTGCAGGTAGCTTTCAGAACGGGCCGTACGGCAGTTATCAGGGAGGGCTTATGTCCACTGGGCGGATGGGCAGTGGGTTTGAGCGGTCAGGCAGCTTTCAGGCACCAGGCAGCAACTACTCTGGCTTTGGCTCCGCATATGGCTACCCGTACGCCAGAACAGCCTCGTCTGGAGCTGCTTCCTCTAATCCCGTACTGCAGCGGGTGAGTAGTGGTATGAACTTTGATCTCAGCTTTCACTCGAACGCGTCGCAGCAGAGCTACAATAACGGCATTACAGGGATTGGCCAAAAACCCTCGGAAACGAGCCTGCTCGATTTACCGGCGCTCCAAAATCCCCAACATGATGGTGGCTTGATGCGTTACAACAGCATGACGCTGGCACGAACAAACTCCACATTGAACGGTTTCTACAACTTTGGTCCTGAGGCGCAGATGAATGGCGCGCGGAGATTGGCCCCAGGGCGTCTGGCAGGCCGACCGAGTGCCCCGCCGCAGTGGCCAACTGGTGGGGCCGTTTCTACCATCTCAGCTCCTCCGCAGAACAACACTGTGGCTCGGCCTGCCCGACCACCGGAGCCGTCATCGAGCAATGCCCCCTCCAGCGGTAATGGTGAATTAACGCGCAAAGGTAGTGAGAAACGGATTGGTATGTACTTCAAGGATGTTCAGCCAACACAGAATGGCGAGTACAAGAAGGATGGTGATCCAGGGACAAGCAGGAAAACACGCACCTCGGATCCTGCCACGATGACACGCGTGCGTACCATTGTACTCCTCGAGAAGAATGGTGGTAATAACATTGAAGTGGATGGTTCCACGGCAATCATGAAAAAGCCCAACAGTGATGAATTACAAAAATACGATACCAATGCGATTTTGCTCACGTCCTTAGATGATCCTGAGGTATTTATTGAGGGATTGGAGGAGCTGCGCGATACGTTCCTGATGGGGTGCAACGTCAGTCTCGTGATGGCGGACTCCAACTGCCCCGCCCACATCCCGTCAAATTGGTTCACGTGGAACGGGCTGAGGCGGTTGATGAAAGAGTGTTTTGCAAAGATGTCCAGCCGCTCCGAGCTCAGCGTGTCGGTGTCACTGCTAGAGGATGACCAGGTCAAGGACCTCTTGGATAAGCATCCGCGCTTCTTCTCGCTCAGCGTGGCACAGTCACCGCTGTTTGGCAACGTGCCGCACGGCACCATCTACCAAGTCGTCGTTGACGCGTCGGAGTTCGATGAGCTGCTGGATCTCGCGCTCTCGCGGGCTAACGGACGTGAGGGGGAGGAACGCGGCATTGTCCTCGTCTCGGCGGTCCTGAAACAGATCCGCACCAATACCCCACACACGAAGGGCGACGAGGAGGACATCGTGCTGTCCTCCCTCTTCGCCTCCGGTGTAGGCGATGGCATCATCCACTACACGCGCATCCTCGACAAGAACCCCGCTGAGCCGCGCGCCCTGTTTCAGTTCGCGCTCGGTGGCCCGGCCATGACGGCGGCCGTGATGTCCATCGCTGACGGGCCTGACAATGGGGCAACAGTCACTCAGTTCATGGCGACGCTGCACAGGCTCGGTGAGATAGAGAACTACCGCCTGCGGCTCGGCAGTGTGCGCCGCTTCATCACATACACGAATGATACGATACCCAAGACGAAGAGGCGGCTGGGTGAGATGTCAGAGGGGCGNGAGAAGGAGGCAACGAAGCGGTCGCTCGCACGACTGGAGCTGATGGTCAAGGACGCGGAGGCGATGCTGGAATCACCAGAAAATGCAGAGGCCAAGACGTATATACGACATTAACAACGTGTGAATAGTGTGACGAAGAAAGGAGATCCGGGTGATTGTTTTTGCTGTTGTAGATTAGCTTTGTGCCTGTCTGCAGTTGTGGCGGTCTCTGCTTTATGCCTTGCCACACAGGGCTGCTGCTGCTGCTGCTGCTGTATGCATCATTGGGCAGTACCGTGGTGGAACGGAAACCGCAACGATGGGACGGCACCTCAACCACTCTGTGTCCGTGAAGAGGCCTGTGCATCGTGACGAGGCTGCGGGCCGGCGCAGTAAAAATGGGTCGTGCAGAAATAGGTGCAAAAAAAGGCTACCAATAAGCCAAAGAAAAGGAAAGATGATATGTGACAACGACGCGAAACAAAAAGGAAAAAAGAAAAAAAAAA